TCTTAATCCTTACCCTAACCAGGACCTAATCCTAATCCTGACTACAAACTAAACTCCAATCTTAAAATAACCCCTCACTCAGTGTTGAGTTGGAAAAAGCTCCCCCTTCCCAAAGTGTCCCTGAAAGAATCTTTTTTTAAAATAAAAAGTGTAACTATATCACACACAGACACACAAACAAAAGTGCCGTGCACGATCGCCCTAATGTGTTCACCCCTGAAACCCTTTTCAAAAAAAAGGAGAAAATCTTAGCTGTTCTTTCGGCATAAAATAAACTATGGCTGCATGCACTTGGACGCAATTGGTATGAAAAATGCCTGAGCTTCAGCTCCACCCTCCTCATCATTATCATCATCTTCCTCCTCCTCCTCCTCCATCATCATTATCATCTTCCTCCTCCTCCTCCTCCTCCTCCTCCCTCGCTCTCGAAGGCGGTCCTTTTGGCAGGGCCCGCTGACAGTGTGGTGGTATCTGGTGGCGAGATTGAGCACTGCCGGGAGAGAGTGCCTCCGATTGTGGGGGAAAACAGGTACCACAGTGCCATCTGCTGGACAAACCCATCTCCTGATGGTTTCTTAAATTTTCCTAAAACGCGTCACAAACATAAGGGAATAATTAATACAGTTTAATTATTATGAAAAATTATTGAAATTTTAATAAATTAAAAAAATATCTTACCTACTTTGTAGTTATTAACCTTGGATTTTTTTAGGTTATATTTAACTTCTTGCCATATTATGTCAATTTGTTTCCTAAAATATCTGTACATTCTGACCTTCATATATGCTCTGTCTCAGCCTTCTGTCTATCAAAGAGGTGACAGGCCACAGGAAGCTGACACGTTTGTTCCCCGATTCGGATTCATGCGACACCTTTGACGGCCTGACATGTCATCAGCCAACACTTTTCGCATCACATGGCTACCCCCCACACAACAACACAAAATGTGTCTCATGCGTCACAGAAGGACGCAGCAAACGACTGGAAAAAAAACAGAATTCGACATTCAATTTGCAGATATTTCATCCGTAAACACCCGGACCTGGGTCACGTAGTATTAGTCACGAGTCGGGCGGGTCGCTTTACGCCCTGCTGGCTCTCCAACTGGCCAGCACATATTTTTTATAAAATGACAAAAACAATTGGACTTTGTGGACGGCGAGGTCATTCCTCCATGCTTGTCTTTTTCACGGTGACTGTACACAACACCTGAGTACTGCTTATATTACAGCCCTGCCAATATCCTGTTTTCCTGACTAGAGCTCTACGTGTGTGCACGTGTGTGTGTGTGTGTGTGCGTGTGTATTCTGAGGGTCACTGTGCTGTGTCTGACTTCAGATGAAACCTGACTTCCTGTCAGCAAAGCCAGCAACCGTGCACACCGCCGGTCCTTACCTTCCACTTCCTGTCAATAACAATCAACATACACATTTTTAAAGAGGGAAAGAAATGAGAAGGAAGTTTGCTGCTACTGCTGCTGCTGTTGTTGTTGTTGTTGTTTTTACGAAATACAGAGAAAGAGGTGTGCTTTAACACATGGCAGGTGGCGCTGATGATGAGGCTACACCCAGCGTAATCATAATAATGACGAGACCGAGGCGAGATGTGATCAAATAGCGACGGGCATTAAAAATTCAAATGTCTGTGGGGACGAGGGGGAGGAGGGGGTAAAAGAAAGGGGGCTGTCATATGAGCCGTGGCTGTTGCTGGGATTTGGATGAGCATGTTTGTGAGGGGAGTAGAATATTTATTTGTGTGTGTGTGTGTATGTGTGTGTGTGTGTGTGTGTCAGGCAGATGGACAGACAGAAATAGCCAGAAGATGAGAGTGAGATATGGAGGCAGGAGAAAGGAGGGTGGTAGGGTGGGAGACAGGGGGAGGGAGGGAGGGTGGGGAAGGCAAGGCAAGGCGTAAGGATGCTGGTGGTGGAGGAGGAAGAGAACAGGTTGGAGAATGAGAAATGACTGGAAAGTCATGTGAGACTGACAAACAATTTAACGGTGGATTTACCGAGACAATAACAAGCCTCACTTCATATTTCAACATCATATCAGTGCCGGTGTATTTGTCTGAAATTAATTGTGGTTCTTGTAATGAATGAGACCTATCAGATTTTTTTTTCCCCTACCCCAAGTAATTTTTATGGCTGTGACATGCAGCGTGGCCCTCTACTGGAGATCATCCATCACGGTTTGAAAACGACAAAGACATTTTGGTGAAAGGTTTTTAGTAGAGGTTCACTGAAACACAAACAATGCACTGGTGGATATTCTTATTAAAAGTAAGATGTTTAGATTTTTCCCTGACTCATATATACATAATTATTTCAGCTATTTCTCCCCATAGATCATACGTGTCAAACTTAAGGCCCGGGGAGCAAATACGGCCCGCCAAGCCGATTTGTGTGGCCCACTGGAGCTTAAAAACCATTTAGTAAAGTCCATGAAGCAGAGTTTCTTAGCCTAAGTAATTAAACGTTTTTATAATCAATCACATAATAATCAATTGCAGAAACATGTATTAGTCTGTGTTGGAGTAGTTACACCTATACCAGTGGTCCCCAACATTTTTTGTTCCAAGGACTGGTCAGCCAGTACCACCTGTTACTACAGACTGGTATCAAGATGCTGACCACTGAAGGATGATTATATTTTCAAAATAAAACCTCTAGTACCAAGTGACCTATGGAATGGTACTGGTCTGCGAACCAGGGGTTGGGGACCCCACATCTATACGGTCTCCCATTTACAACCAGCCCTTCAAGGGGAACTGTATTGCTGATGTGGCCCCTGGAGAAAATGAGTTTGACACCACTGCCACAGATCATCAAACTCACCAGTGCTATGAGGGAAACTAAAGAAACGAAGAGAAGAAGAGAATAGAATTTAGTACTTAAGTTGTATTAAACATATCCTAAATAAACGCATAAAAAAGGTTTCCTGTAAGAAATCAACTTCCAATTATGTCACAAATATATACTATATAAAGTTATCCAGTACACACTAGTATACTCTACACAAATGGACTTAAAACAACCTCATGCATGTCAAGCTCTAGTGGGCCAAATAAAACAAGTTTTGGGCCGCATTTGGCCCACAGGCCTCAGGTTTGGCTTATGTGATTTCTGAAAAAGTTTCACAGAAACATATTTTAGCAGTGATAAAATATATTAATATGAGAGCCTCAATAATTTCTATTTTAAGTGTGGTAAAATCAAACACGTATCCTCCTGATAAGAGTGATTCGGGCAGTGATAATCCTGATATGGGATTCAAAACATAGCCTACCATGTAACATGCTACATATCACGCTACATGACACTCGGCACTAAGGCATGACATGGAGTGAAAAAAACCCTCAGCTACACCTCCAGTTGGAGAATAGTGTGAGGAGCCTATGTATGTAGAAGAACTGCCTTCAGTCAAAACATCCCATCATTTCTGAGCTCATTACGGATCAGCTTACCACTGCTGGTCGTGGGGAGCTCCAGCATCTGTCCATTCAGAACGAGACTGGTCTAATCTGGAAATGAAATGCAAACAGCAACAACAACAACATATAGAGCTGCCATTTGAAGTGCAGGGGATTGCGTGTGATGTGCAAAAACAAGGATTCACAATACACACCTTTACAGGCCATATTGACACACAGTACCTACCTGTGCCGTACAGTACAATACGATGACAGTGTTGAACTATGAGCCTTTTTCTACTCCGAATGTTTTGACACATTGGAACAAAGGTGTTAAAGAAAACACACACATTGGCTCTGCTCAGGGTCATGTGACACAGAGCCAGCTCTACTATAAGAGCGCCATCTAATTGGAGCTTACCGCCGAGTTTTTTTTTTTATTATTCGCTCATTATTTTCCCATTAGCATGCTTCGCTGTTTGATAGCTGCAAAGATAGTTAAGTCAGATATTGTTAGCTGAATGGCATGTGTAATACGCAAAGCTAGATTAGCATTTAGCACTTTCTACTTTTATGTTCGCATCCACTTCCTGTTGTTTATTGAGGCTTAGCCTCTTCAATAATGAAGACAAATGAGCTCATTATCAGGTGTTTGCATGTGCACGCCCAGTAGTGTGTGTGTGTACGTATGGTGGGTGGGTGTGTGCGTCTGTCTGTCTGTCTAATGTATTTTCTCAGATGAGTGTGAGGCCTTGTTTTTGAATGAAAGCGAGGTTAATTGCTTCATTTAGCCCCGGCTGTTGAATGCAGCCTCCTCGGAGCACAACTTTGTTGAACTCACTCTACGTCCTCCTCTTTCTCTCTTGAGTGTGTGTCTATTTTCTCATTTGTACATGAAATTACCCATAATCACCAGCAGAGAGAGCGCGGGGATGCATGAGTTTTTTTGTTCATTGTACTGTAAAGCCACAAGGCTGTTTCACATCACATGCAGCTGATGTTAAATAATTCCTTCTGCTCTTCTCATTCCTTTCTCATGGTTCATGAATGAGGATTTAATGGACGAGAAGTACTGAAGGAAAAAAGATCTCCTGAAATATATTTGATCTGAGAAGGTCAGAAAAGTTTGTTTTCACCCCTCAAACATGAACCACTTTTGAAATGAGAGCAAACCAAACTTGGACGTTGTTGAAATTGCTGAAGGTTTGCAACTGATTTTGAGGCATTTTAGCTTGTAACCTGGAATGAAAGAGGTCCGATGGAATTCTTAGACGGACACATCACTGTAGAAGTGTTCAGACCTAATCGGAGGATACCTGGGAAAATAGTTTTCATGCTTTATTCTGTCTTAGAACTTATTGACTCAAACTCATCTTTTGTTTAGACATTAATAATTAATTCATATTTAACAGCTAAATCATGGAGGTGCATTTTTTTTTTTGAGTCAAACATTCTGAAGATCTCAACAAGTTTTAACAGTTCATCAATGTTTGGATGCTGCAGTTTAGTAACTGGACATTAGGGGGTGCTGGGAGACGGGGCAAATGATTTTAAAAAGTGGAAAAAAAAAGAGATTTTTCAGACAACCCTCTTCAGGATCCTTCCACTTTATTCACCATTCCACTGTCTACAATATTACCATACAAAGCCTATTTCCAACATGGAACCCCACTGGAATGTGATTATCAATAATACACGCACACATTCAGTGACAAAAACTTAAATACAGCTGTTCTATCAAATAAACAGGCCGGAGGCGGAGAGACACGTGGAGTGATATTAACACATGCACCGACAAATATAAAAAATAGACATTTCTTCTTTTTTTTTTCTGTACAAACATAAATGGACACATATAAATATATAGAAGTAGAAAAAAGGTGTATTTTTAAAATACAAATTGTACAGATACATTCCATGATAACAAAACAGGAGACATCTAGCACAATATTCAAGTGAGTTCGCCTTTACCCCCCCCTCCCCTCCACAGACACTGTACAGGATTGTACACTACTGTCAAAGCAGATTTCAGATTACACAGCTGTCGGTTTCTCCCGGCGGAGTCTTTGAGTGCTGCTGTAAACATTAGAAAATACAGTAAGGGCAAGAGTTTTGGGGCGGATTTCTCTTCTCCAGCACGGATTCAGTGCCACTTTTCTCAGTGAGTCTCTGAGCTCGGAGCAGCCGCGGAGATATTTGGTAAAAACGACGAGACGAGCTTTACAGTGAACGAGGGAAAAGTCATCATGTAGTTCGTGTGTAAACGTTGGCACAGAGAAGAAAAAGCACTTGTCAGAATGTGGGCAAATGTCGCGGGTCACCTTCCTAACCCCTCCACCCCCCCCTCCACCCCCTCTCTCTCTAATTCTGCCTGACGTCCTCCAGCAGTTTGTTTATCTCGTGCACCAGTTCACTAGCGTCCACGCCGGTGTCATGACGGATCTCGCCGCGCTTCCCGACCTGGTGGCCCTGATGGAAAACTCCATCGAAGTCATCTTCCTCATAATTCTCCGGGATTTCCTCCATGGCTGGAAGCCATTTCAGGTGAGGAGCCTGCCCATTGGTCGAGGTGTTAGCAGAGGTGGAGGATGAAGAGTTGGAGGTGTTTGAGGAGACGTGGTTGTTCCCCACGGCGCCACCTCCTGGGTTTAGGTAGTGGGTATTTGCGGCCCATGCAGCCACACCTGGGGGATACAGAGGACCCTTCCCACCGGGCAGCAAGAGTCTGCGGCTGTCCTGGGGAACGGCATTGTTACTGTGATTACCCGAAGTGTTTGCCCCGCGTCCGCTTCCTCTCTCGGCGGTTGACGACGACGACGACGACGAGGGCGGGGGCGTTTCACTGCACTCCGTGTACGAGTCCATGTTGGGAGGGAGAAGCCGCTGAAACACAGAGTTCATCTCTGTGAGGAGAGAGCCAGCCCCTCCTCCAGCCGCACAGGCATCACTCCCTCCTCCACCGATGACCCCCCCGGCCATGCCATCTTCACTCCCAGACTCCTTACCGAACGTGGAGAAGCTCTTGCGGCGCTCCGAGTCATCGGAGGATTGGTCGTCATCCAGCTGTGGCGGCTGGGAGGACTCTTCTCCGGGGATGTACATGTTGTTGCGATAGTCGGAGGATGAAGCTGGCGAAGCAATGGGGGGCATCCAGCACTGGTCAGAGTGTCCAAGGACACGACATTCGTCCGTGCACAGTCTCATAGCTGAATAGGGGCAGAGACACAAAACTCCTTGAAAACTACACTTAAAGTACACCCTGTTAAATAACTCAGCAGTTTCACCAGGCTTTCCAACCTGACAGTTTGGCTTAGTTCTCAATTTTTGTTTTTTTAGGTTTTTGCAGCAACACAGAAACGTCAATACATTTGAATAATACACATCATAAACCCCCAGACTGTGGTAAAGTAATGTTTTACAACAAGTGCACAAGGTAGCGGTGCTGAGCTTTACTACTCTAGGAAACACGGAAGCGGATGCTGTTGAGTTTGATAAAAACTCTGCCTGATGCTGTGAGGAGGTTTTAATGCACAAAGCCTGTTTAATATTTTATACCTCGGTGCTATAGCCTGATATTAATATCAAAAGAGTCTCGTAGCATCTAGGTGTTTCTCTCTCTCTCTCTCTCTCTCTCTCTCTCTCTCTTGACGTCTTCATATTCTTGTTTGCAGAGGAGGAGGTTTTTATTTTATATACTGCAGATGGCATGTATACACAGCTTGTACCTAGTCTCGTAAACAACCACGGGTACCGGATAAATGGGTAAATAAACAGCTGTGACCGGCCCGGTGGCTTCACAGCGAAATGTAAATATGAGGTTTGGCTGCTTTTCACGGAGAGGACCACATTCTTTATATAAAATGAAGGAATTGTTTCCATCATCTGAACAAAGAAAAATGCATATTTTCTTCATAGTACAGCAGAAATAATTCTTCCTCCTGCTCCATTATTTCCTCCTCTTTGACATTAAGATAAAAAAAAGGAAGAAAATGGTGCAACACATCAAAGTGTTTTCACTAAGGTGGACCATCAATATTCACCACCGCCCACCTTTATCCATCTGTGTGGAGCAGGGAAATACATTAAAAGTAGGGATGAGGGATGCTAAAGAGCTCTCAGACATGTAGGGCAGAGTGAGCGAGGGACAGTTAGTGAGAAGGAGCGAGAGGGGGAGAGAGGGAGAGAATAACATCATTTTAAAAGCAATTACTATGAATTTTCCTCAGTTCAGACATGAAAGAACAGCACTGTCACTCAAAGAAGGGAGAGGGAAAAGAAAAGGAAGGAAGGGGGGAGAAACAGCACTCTGAGACAAATACCGTTGAGTGACAGGCAACTCATCTCCGCTCCGGGGAGGATTTTACAGACAAGACTCTATCTAAGGGGCAGATAACAGACGCACGCGCACACACACACACACAGTGTAACCTCCCTCACTGTGATAACAAGTGCTGAAATGAGGGCTGTGCGGAAGAATGGGCCCCGAGTACAATAGGGATTGTGTAGGCGACAGGTTGAGCACTGCGTCTGCTAAGACAGGTGTACAGACAAATAATGGGGCTGAGATGCGACGCTGTCCGCGGTGCTGAAATTTGTGACGCTGGGAGGGCGGCGGGCGGCTCGGGTGGCATATGAAATCTGCAAGACGCAGTTCGGAGGACACTGTGTGAGCGTATCAGTTTCATTGGATCGGGCACTTTAACTGAGGCTCACCTGGGTGGAGACGGTGCATCTCAAGGTGTATCAGGTCAGAAAAGCCCTCCCCCATCAGCAGTCTGTCCACGGGGGATTCCCTGCCCATGTCACAGTCACTGTCCCCCGCCTCGCTGTCCCCACGACCACTGTCCTTCAGGCTGAACTTGTCCATGTCTTGTAATGCATACCTGTGAGGAGGAATCAGATTATGAACACTTTTGGAGGGCAAAAAAAAAAAAAAACAGGGATGGAGAAAAAATTACATTTTGTAAATTTATAGCTGTGTGCATTCTGTTTTGGTTGATGGAATGACAAAATCAATCTCCCCTCATAGAGAAGACTAATGACAAATAAATCTATCATAAAAAGCTGGAGGATGGAATCTTTCAAATCCCAGGACGAGACTCGGGACATAAATCCTACGTGCAGGTAGGTGGCACCCCCATCAATAAATCCAGCACAACTGCCACCGCAGGCATCAGTAAATCCATCATATGGAGATCATAGGGGGAATATTATGATGAAAGTAGTAATGGATGCACACTTCACAGCCCAGAACTGTATATCCTGGGCGGAGAAGTACCAAAGAAAACTGTTGTGACATTCAGACGGATGAGCTGCATAGTTTTGAACTGAGTGACGTCGGGGTGATACAAACTGATTTATGAAGAAGATACATTCACATGCCTTCAACTGACAGACTCTACACCAGGTTGTTGGGACGGGGGGGTAGTAACAATGAAACACAAGTGGTTTAAAAAAAAATTTGAATCAAACCAAAGATAATTGTTTTGCAGGGGTTAATTGGGGGGAAAGGGGGTAAATTACCTGTAGCTGCGGGAGTATTTGTTGCCACGGAAACTGGGTCTGGGCTGGTACTGGCCCTGATGGAGCATGGACAGAAGCTGTGAGACTTGCTACATCCAAAATAACAAAACAAACAAAATAAAATGAAAAAAAAAGAAATGAAAGGGGTTGG